GTGAGTCTGGAGAATGTGCCCCTCATAGTGTAGACCTGGGGGTGGGGCAAGCAACTTGTCCAAATTCTCTATTCCCTATAGAACATTAAAGTTAATATGTGGGGAGAAGGACCACATGAACAGTCATCTTTAGTGCCCTGATGAAAACTCACTGCAGCTGAAAAAAGAAACTGAAAAAAAAAAAAAAATAACAACAAACCACCTCTACCCCTCAGAAAGAGACTGGAATTCAATATGACAGTCAAGTAGAAAATTCCAAAGCAACCACAAAAAATCTCCTAGAATTGATATAGAGTTTGTCATGGTTGTAGGATGGATATATAATCAGTATATAAAAAATAAATTCTGTTTTCTATAATGGCAGTAAACAATTGGAATTTGCAACTATATATATATATATAATTTATCATAGCAACATAGAATAAAATGCTTAAGTATGAACCCAACAAAATATGTGCAGGATATATGTACTGAACATTATGAAGCACTGAGGAAAGAAATCAAAGAGAACCAAATAAATAGAGAAATATACCATGCACATGGAAGTGGAAGACAAAAGAGTAAGATATTTTATTGTCAGTATTGCCAAATTGATCTATAGATTCAATATAACCCTAGTGAAAAATCCTACCTCACTTGTTTTTGTAGATATCAATAACTTGACTCTACAGTGCAAATGAGAATTTTGGGGGTGATGAAACTTTTCTGTATGGAAGTGTGATAAATACATGACAGTATACCTCTCAAAATCCTAGAAGCGTACAACACAGAATGTATGTTAGTGCGTGTATTTTTTTAATCGGCTAATTCAGGATGGAATGCAGACTGTGATAAATGAATCTAACTGCGTTGCAAATATTTGACAACCTCAGTGTATATAATGGACAGAAAAGGTGCTGGCTAAATTATCTTGTAAAAACAATCATGACTGCGTACTGTAGACCTAAAGACAAAAGGAATATTGCATGCACGTGTTACTCTAGTTTCTTGCAGGGGTGTGGGTTTGCAATTCTGAAATTGCTTTAAATATATACTAGAGTTGAACAAAGAAGTAAATATTTTGTAGGTAATGAGAACCAGGTTTTCCTGTACTGAAGAGCCAAGTTAGAAATAAGGAAAGAGGGAAGGTCATGAGTCCTGTGGTGCTGGATTGCAGTTGGTGGAGTTGGAAGTAACAGCATAATAGTTATTGTTATATTGTAATCTCTCTATCAGCTTCTAGTTAGGAGATTTTTAATTAGTTGTTTTCCTGTTATGGGTGTGATCTATCCTCAACAGGATGATAAACACCTTGAGGGGAATTTCTGTCTCTTTAATGATACAAGATGACATTGGGATGTTTAGAGATCATGGTCTATATCAAATACTGTCTGATTCACTATCAACACAAAAGCCTAGTAAATTGCCTTTTTCAGATTAAAGTTAGAATTGCTTACAGTTCTTAGAAAAATGAATTTTGGCTACAAAAGTGAGACCTTTTGCTTTTATTAAAAGACATAGGTGGCACATATACATTAAGAGAAGCACATTTAGGTTATAAACATCCAGCCCACCAGAAATGTGTATTTTAAACTCATTACTTTGATTGTATCACATCATCTATCAGATATAGGTATTTATAGGTTTTTATCAGCAAAAAATACTTTGAAATATACAGTCCAAAATGTTGCTTACTGTGTATTAGTTGAAAATTTCTAGTGATCTGTGTTTGCTAGATTGATTTTGCAGTACCATGCTATAGAAATCCTATAGAATCATTCAATTATGTAGCATCTCAGATGAAAAAATACCAGGTACTATTTTTGTGAAGTATCTAGGACATCTATGGTTCCAGAGAAATTGGTCTTCTAGTACCAGATGTAAAGCAATCTGAGTGATCAAAAATCTGCCTATTGGTTTGTCCCTCTCTCTCTCCTCTCTTTTTTTCCCTTTGCTCATTTGTTTTGTTTCTTAAATTCCACACATTAGTGAAATCATAAGGCACCCATCCCTGTCTAACCGACCCATTTCGCTCAGCATCATACTCTCCGGCTCCATCCACATTGTTGCAAATGACAAAATTTTATTCACATCTTCCTCATCCATTCATCAATGGATGGACACTTGGGCTGCTTCCATATTTTGGCTATTGCAAATATTGCTGCTATAAATGTAGGGGTGTATGCGTCCCTTTGAATTAGTGCTTTTGTATTCTTTGGGTAAATACCCAGTAATGTGAATTCTGGATCTTAGGGTAGTTCTATTTTTAACCTTTTGAGGAAACTCTGTACTGTTTTCCACAGTGGCTCCTCCCACCAACAATGCAAGAGCTTTCCTTTTTCTCCACATCATGGCCAAAACTATTGTTTCTTGTGTTATTGATTTCAGCCATTCTGACAGGTGTGAGGTGATTGCTCATTGTAGTTTTGGTATGCATTTCCCTGATGATGAGTGATGATGAACCATCTTTTAAATGTGTCTGTTGGCCATCTATATGTCTTCTTTGGAGAAATATCTATTCATGTCTCCTGCCCATTTTTCAATTGGATTATTTGGTTCTTGGGTGTTGAGTTTTATAAGTTCTTTATATATTTTGAATACTAACCCTTTATCAGATATGTCATTTGAAAATATCTTCTCCCATGAAGTGGGTTGCTTTTAGTTTTGTTGATTGTTTCTTTTGCTCCGCAGAAGCTTTTTATTTTGATGTAGTCCCAATAGTTTATTTTTGCTTTTGTTTCCCTTGCCTCAGTAGACATATCAAGAAGTTGCTATGATCAGTGTCGAAGAGGTTACTGCCTGTGTTCTCTTCTAGGATTTTTGTGGTTTCAGGTCTCACATGTAGGTCTTCAATCCATTTTGAATTTATTTTTGTGTATGGAGTAAGAAAGTGGTCCAGTTTCTTTCTTTTGCATGTTACTATCCACTTTTCCAACACCATTTGTTAGAAAAACTGTCCTCTTCCCATTGGATGTTCTTTCCTCCTTTGTCCAAGATTAACTGACCAAGTAGTTGTGGGTTTATTTCTGAGTTTTATATTCTGTTCCATTGATCTGTGTCTATTTTTGTGCCAATCCCATACTGTGTTGATAACTACAGCTTTGTAATATAACTTGAAGTTCAGAATTGTGATTTGCTTTTCTTTTTGTGGTTGCAGGTCTTCAGCTTTGCTTTTCTTTTTCAAGATTGCTTTAGTTATTTGGGTCTTTTGAGGTTCTATACAGATTTTAGGATTGCTTGCTCTAGCTGTGAAAAATGCTGTTGGTATTTTGATAGGGATTGCATTGGATCTGTAGACTGCTTTGGGTAGTATAGACATTTTAGCAATATTTGTTTTTCCAATCCATGAGCATGGAATGTCTTTCCATTTCTTTGTGTCATCTTCAATTTCTTTTATCAGTGTTTGATAGTTTTCAGAGTACAAGTCTTTCACCTCTTTGGATACGTTTATTCCTGGGTATCTTATTATTTTTGGTGCAATTGTAAATGAGACAGATTCCTTAATTTTTCTTTCTGCTACTTCATTATTAGTTTGTAGAAATCAACAGATTTCTGTAGATTGATTATGTATCCTGCAACTTTACTGAATTTGTTTATCAGTTCTAGCAGTTTTTTTGATGGAGTCTTTTGGGTTTTTTATATATAGTATCATGACATCTACAAATAGGGAAAGTTTTACTTCTTCCTTACTGATTTTGATGCTTTTTATTTCTTTTTGTTGTGTGATTGCTGTGGCTAGGACTTCCAGTACTATGTTAAATAGAAGTGGTGAGAGTGGATATCCTTGTCTTATTCCTCACCTTAGGGGAAAAGCTCTCATTTTTTCCCCATTAAGGATCATGTTAGCTGTGGGTTTTTCATAGGTGGCCTTTATTATGTTGAAGTATGTTCCCTCTAAACCTACCTTGTTGAGGGTTTTTATCATGAATGGGTGTTGTACTTTGTCAGATGCTTTTTCTGCATCTATTGAAAGGATCATATGGTTCTTATCCTTTCACTTTTTGATGTGATGTATCACATTGATTGATTTGAGAATACTGAACCACACTTGCAACCCAGGAATAAATCCCAGTTGATTGTGGTGAATGATTTCTTTAATGTATTGTTGGCTTTGGTTTGCTAGTATTTTATTGAGTATTTTTGCATCTGTGTTTATAAGAGATATTGGCCTGTAGTTCTCTTTTTTAGTGGTGTCTTTTTCTGGTTTGTTATTAGGGTAATCCTGGCCTCATAGAATGAATTTGGAAGTTTTCCTTCCTTTTCTATTTCTTGGAATAATTTGGGAAGAATAGATACTAACTCTTCTTTAAATGTTTGGTAGAATTCACCTATGAAGCCATCTGGTCCTGGACTTTTGTTTGTTGGGAGTTTTTTGATTACTGATTAAATTTCTTTGCTGGTTATCAGTCTATTCAAATTTTCTATTTCTTCCTGATTCAGTTTTGGTTATTTATAGGTTTCTAGGAATTTATCCATTTCTTCTAGGTTGTCCAATTTGTTGGCATATAGTTTTCCATAATATTCTCTTATGATTGTTTGGAGGTTTAAATTTTGTTTTTATTTCCAAAGTAATATGTTTTTTCTTTTCCAAGCAAAGACAAAAATTTTTTTGACTATTGCTCAAATTCCATAAGACATCCTTTTTCCTTTTTTAAAAATTTTTCTCATTGTCCTTTATTCATCAATCCATTTTCCTTTTGAAGGAATAGAAAATTCCAGATCATTTCTTAGTTCTTTTGTATGTCACTTTGGAAGAAAACTTGTCAAGGATCAGTGATTCCTTGAAAACCAGGGAAATAAAGCCAGGCACATGTTCTGTTTTCCTTTTTGTTTGAATTGGGCACTGAATGTCTCCACAATGAGAATGATTTTGAAAGCATTTTTTTCTATAATGTCTGCCAATTTTAAATACGTTCTGTATTATATAGTGACAATATCAGAATATATTCAGACAGATACCATAAGGTATCTTTTTTAGAAAAGTAAAACTAATGTTATATTTACTCTCTTTTTTGGAACAGGAGTTATTCCCTCTGACAGATGGATAGTAAATTTTGACAAAGATCTTTTAGATGGCCTTGTTTTTGCAACACAGTTGGGAGCCTATTGTCCGTTTTTGGTAAGAGTCTTTTTTATGAGGCATAGTCTTCTATTATTTGAAAGAACTTAGTAATTAAAATTCAAAGTATTTTTTATAAACTGATTTTTTTCAATGTTTTAATTTAAATCACACCTGAATCTGAACGGCCGGCATTCCCTTTTGTTTATTCCGGTATTTTGATAGTAATAAGCTACTCCGACAGATGTTAATACTTAAATGATTCTTTGCCGAACTAAAGAGAAGAGTTAAAAAGCAGTAATTTTTATTCCATTACTAAAAGATTTGATTGTTGTCTTTTCCAGATTGAGTCTCATTTCGAAAAAATGTACACACAACCAAAAAGTTCTGAACAGTATCTGCACAATTGCCTGATTATTGTGAATGTACTTCGTGAAATTGGCTTTGACATGGACATACAGGTGCGTGACTATATATCACATATTCCATAAATATCAATTTCTTCTTTTCGTATTTTTTCCAGCTTCACCAGGTATGATTGTTAAATACAAATTGTATATATTTAGTTTGTAAAATGTAACTTTTGTAGGTATACAGTGTGATGATTGTACATATATAATGTGAATCGATTACCACAGACAAGGTAATTAACACATCCATCACCTCACATAGTTACCATTTTGTGTGTGTGTGTGTGTGTGTGTGTATGTGTATGCGTGGTGAGAACACTTAAGATCCAACATCTCCTCATTTCCCCCATCCCTCTCCATTGGCAACTATCATTCTACTCTCAGATTGCATGGGTTTGACTTTTTTAGATTCCACATACAATTGAAATCATAAAATACTTGCCTTACTGTGTCTGGTTTATTTTACTTAGCATAATGTCCTCTGGATTCTTCCATGTTATCAAAAGTGACAGGATTTCTTTCTTTTTTATGACTAAATATTCCATTGTGAGTATATATCATGTTTTCTTTTTTTAATTTTATTTTATTTAAATTCAATTAGCCAACATATAATACATCATTAGTTTTTGATGTAGTGTTCAGTGATTCCTTAGTTGCGTATAATATCCAATGCTCATCAGATCACGTGCCCTCCTTAATGCCCATCCCCAGTAACCCTATCCCCCCACCCACCTCCCTTTTGCAACCCTCAGTTTGTTTCCCGGAGTCAAGAGACTCTCATGGTCTGTCTCCCTCTCTGATTTCTTCCCATTCAGTTTTCCCTCCCTTCCCCTATGGTCCTCTGCTCTATTCCTTATATTCCAAATATGAGTGAAACCTTATGATAATTGTCTTTCTCTGATTGACTTATTTCACCTAGCATAATACCCTCCAACCATGTCGATGCAAATGATAGGTATTCATCCTTCCTGATGGCTGATTAATATTCCATTGTATATATAAGCCACATCTTCTTTATCCATTTGTCTGTTGAAGGACATCTCAGCTCCGTCACCAGTTTGGATATTGTGGACATTGCTGCTATGAACACAAGGGGTGCAGGTGCCCCTTCTTTTCACTACATCTGTATCTTTGGGGTTAATACCCAGTAGTGCAATTGCTGGGTCATAGGGTAGCTCTATTTTTAATGTCTTGAGGAACCCCCATACTGTTTTCCAGAGTGGCTGTACCAGCTTGCATTCCCACCAAGAGTGTAAGAGGGTTCCCCTTTCTCCACATCCTCGTCAACATTTGTTGTTCCCTGTGTTGTTAATATGAGCCATTCTAACTGGTGTGAGGTGGTATCTCATTGTGGTTTTGATTTGTATTTCCCTGATGGCAAGTAATGTGGAGCATTTTTTCATGTGTCTGTTGGCCATTTGTATGTCTTCTTTGGAGAAGTGTCTGTTCATGTCTTCTGCCCATTTCTTGACTGGATTATTTGTTTTTTGGGTGTTGAGTTTGAGAAGTTCTTTATAGATCTTGGATACCAGCCCTTTATCTGTAGTGTCATTTGCAAATATCTTCTCCCATTCCATAGGTTGCCTTTTAGTTTTGCTGACTGTTTGTTTCCTTTGTCATGCAGAAGCTTTTTATCTTGATGAAGTCCCAATATTTCATTTTTGCTTTTCTTTCCCTTGCCTTTGGAGACATGTCTTGCCAGAAGTTGCTGTGGCTGAGGTCAAAGAGGTTACTAACTGTGTTCTCCTCTAGGATTTTGATGGATTCCTGTCTCACATTTAGGTCTTTCATCCATTTTGAGTTTATCTTTGTGTATGATGTAAGGGAATGGTCCAGTTTCATTCTTTTGCATGTGGCTGTCCAATTTTCCTAGCACAATTTATTAAGAGACTGTCTTTTTTCCAATGGATATTCTTCCCTGCTTTATTGAAGACTAGTTGACCATAGAATTGAGGGTCCATTTCTGGGGTCTCTGTTCTGTTCCATTGATCTATGTGTCTGTTTTTGTACCAGTACCATGCTGTCTTGATGATCACAGCTTTGTAATATAGCTCAAAGTCAGGCATTATGATGCCCCCAGTTTGGGTTTTCTTTTTCAACATTCCCCTGGTGATTCGGGGTCTTTTCTGGTTCCATACAAATTTTGGGATTGTTTGTTCCAGCTCTGTGAAAAATGTCGATGGTATTTTGTTAGGGATTGCACTGAATGTGTAGATTGTTCTGGGCAGCATAGACGTTTTAACAGTGTTTATTCTTCCAATCCATGAACATGGAATATTTTTCCATCTCTTTGTGTCTTCCTCCCAATTTCTTTCATAAGTGGTCTATAGTTTCTAGAGTACAGATCCTTTACCTCTTTAGTTAGGTTTCTTCCTAGGTATCTTACGGTTTTTGGTGCAATTGTAAATGGGATTGATTCCTTAATTTCTCTTTTTTTCAGTCACATTGTTAGTGTATAAAATGCAACTGATTTCTGTGCATTGATTTTGTATCTTTCCACGTTGCTGAATTGCTGTATGAGTTCTAGCAATTTTGGGGTGGAGTCTTTTGGGTTTTCCACATAAAGTATCATTCATCTGTGAAGAGAGGGAGTTTGACTTCTTCTTTGCCAGTTTGAATGCCTTTTATTTCTTTTTGTTGTCTGATTGCTGAGGCTAGGACTTCTAGTACTATGTTGAACCTAGTGGTGAGAGTGGGCATCCCTGTCATGTTCCTGACCTTAAGGGACAAGCTCTTAGTTTTTCCACATTGAGAATGATATTCGCTGTATGCCACGTTTTCTTTATGCATTCCTACATCGACAGACAGGTTTTTCCATATGTTTGATATTGTGAATAATGCTGCAGTTGAACATGGAAGTGCAAATATCTCTGAGATGCTGGTTTCATTTCCTTTGGATATATACCCAGAAGTAGGGACGCTGGACCATATGGTAGTTCTGTGTTTAATTTTTTAGAGGTCTCCCATACTGTTTTCCATTATGGCTATAACAAGGCACATTTCCACCAGCAAAACACATACAAAAATTCCCCTTTCTCTACATCCTTGCCAACACTTTCTCTCTCCTCTATTTAATAATAGTTATCTCTCCTCTCTTTAATATAACAAGGCACATTTCCACCAACAACATACAAAAATTCCCCTTTCTCTACATCCTTGCCCCACTTTATCTCTATTCTTTTTAATAATAGGTGTGAGGTAATATCTCATTGTGGTTTTGATTTACATTTCCCTCATGGTTAGTGATGTTGAACACCTTTTCATGTACCTGTTGGCCAATTGTATGTCTTCTTTGTGAAAATGTTAGTTGACTCCTTTTAATAATCTTTTGTTCATATATTTTAAATCTAAATTGAAACCATCTTTTTGTAGGGTATTGCTAAAATGTGGAATTTGAAATATGACTTCATAGAAATTGACTGTATATTTCTACATATGTATAATTATGTATATCCAGCTGTGCATAAGAAAATAGTTCTAGTGATTTGTCCATTTTTCTTAAACCCTAAGAATGAAGCTTGAGTGATTTACTAGCACTACCCAAGCTCTAAGAATGAATTAAAGGAGCAGACTTATTTGAATATAGATGTATTATCATTAGCTAAAAAGACGTTTTTTCACTTTTGTTTTAAAATACATATTCATGTAGAGATCAGAATGGCAATATACATTATTACATTTGGATCCCCATGTTATAATTCCATCTGGCCTTTCACATCAAGTCCTCAATAATAACCAAATACTATTATATAATATATATCTAACTATTATATAGCAATAATCAAACACATTATATGCTTACTATTTTTTGAGCCCTTTGTTAGAATAATGAAGTAGTATAATAAATGATTTCTTGGGGTGCCTGGGTGGTGCAGTTGGTTGAGAGTCCCACTTGGTTTCAGCTCAGGTCGTGATCCCTGTGGTGAGATCGAGCCCCGCACTGAGCTTTGCACTCAGCATGGAGTCTGCTTAAGTTTCTCTCTCCCTCTTCCTTTGTCCCTCCCTGCCCCCCACCCCACTCATGGTCACTCTCTCTCTCTCTCTCAAATAAATAATCTTTAAAAAAATGACTTCTTACTTTGAAGAATATACAAAATCATTGAATTATCAAGATATATTCATGTTCAATGATAAATAACATTCTACTCATGTAATTGTCAGTGTATGTAAAAAACAAAGTATAGAATTCAGATAAGGGAAGAGATCAATATGATCTAGATTGATCCACCAAAGACTTTGCAGAGAAGGCAGGACTTATTTGGAGTCTTGAAGGGTGGATTGGATTTGGACTGGTAGTGGTAAGAGAGGAAAGTGTTCACTCAGAGGAAATGGCGTAAACAGAATGTCAAATGGAATACATGACATACAGTAAGGAAATTCTGTGAATAGGTTACCTTAGTTGAATTTTGGGATTAGAAAAATTGATATAGGTATATATTGGGATATTGGATATCAGTATAAAAAGTAAGAAGCTTACCATCTGGGTATTATGGGACTAAAGGTATTTGGGGGTTTTTTTGGTTTTTTTTTTATAGCAACTACACAAAAGGTATTTGTTCTTACAACTATGATGGGAATGGACTCACAGGAGAGGGACTGGAGACAGGGAACACAGACCAATCAAAATATAATTTCAGTTGGTCAAGGAAGAAAGTATTTTCTCTACTCATGTCATTTGAATGGAAACTTAAAATAATAAGTTGATACAGGAGACATTTGAGGTTTGCTAGACCTTGTGAACAGTCACAAAAGAAGGACACAGGAGAAAGACCATTTCAACTTACTCTGAGTTTTCTTTTCCATGACACGAGAGACATTGACGATGCCAGTGCCCACATCTGGCTTGGTATAAAGTTGTTCCTCACACTTGCTGGAAAAACGATATTTCATAATGGCTTGGTTGCATGTTAACGTCACTTTGCTTCAGGTCTGACATTTACATTCTTTTATATTGGTATAGTTGTAAAGAGAAACTGTATTCCTGGATTTTGGCCAGAAATTTCTTTTATAAGAGAGTTTTAAAGATAAACTTCAATGAAAGACTTTGGTTTGGAAGAATAAAAATACTACAGTTCTCGTCAATTCAACAAATTGAATATCCTCCATAAAAGACACTGGATAGACCCTGTAAGGGGTACAGATATGATTAAACCACAATCATGCCTTCAAAGATGTTATTAATAATGAGAAGTATAAGAAAAAGAGCTGATACAAAGCTGATAGTGAATGCCATAGTATACATAGAAGCAGTGTGCTATGGGAACCAAAAGGAACAGAAATCATTCTGGTGAGGGAACCAAGAAGAGTTACATGGGACTTTTGGTGTTCAAGGTGGCTCCTGATAATTTGGTCGGGGTTTATAAGAAACTTAAAATATTTTTGTTTAGAAAATATAAATCATCATACATTGTTGATTCAAAATTTTTATTTTATTCTGTAGCCAAAAAATATTTTTAAATGTGAGTATCTAATACATAAAAATGTAGAGAAGGTGTCTAAGATCTGATGAATGGGGAAATTGACAGTTAGCTGATAATTACCAAGCTTTTACTAACTAGTTAGCTGATAATTACCAAGCTTTTACTAACCAGTTCCAGTTCCTTAACTTTTTTTTATCACTGGATATGTTTATTAATGTTTAAGTTTCTTATTTATTATATTCTTCTTTGCAACTGTGGAATCACCTAGATAAGTTTCTGTGCCTATATTATGTCCTTTTGTGGAATCTTGCCATCTGGAATATAACAGTTGTTTACATATTCTCCCTTTTGTGACATACTTTATATTTAAAGAAAAATATGGGAATTATTTGGACTCAGCATAGAATATATTTTTATTCCCTCATGTAAAGAAATGTATATAAAAATAAATATGACATTTGTAGAGGTTGTACTACACCTAATTCACTGAGTAGTGATGGGAGCTAAGGTTCAATAGATAATCTGACTTTTCTCTTAAAACTTTTGTTTTTGGGGCTCCTGGGTGGCTCAGTCTGTTTAGCATCTGACTCACATCATGATTTCAGGGCTGTGGGATCCAGCCCCTTGTTGGGCTCAAGTGCTCGGCATGGAGCCTGCTTGAGATTCTCTCTCTTCCCCTGCCCCTCCTCTCTCTCTCCCTCTCAAGAAAAAAAAAAAAGTTGTTTTTATCAATTTTGATGCTTTTTAGCATTAAATAACAGAATGCACGAGTGAAAGTGCTTTAAAAATAAACAAATACAATACATTAGACAAAGTCAGGCATTAGGAGATTATAAGCATAGTCAGTTGCTCAATAAAGTTATTAGAGATTCATTTTTGCTCAGCCCGTCTCAGCCTGCTGGCTTTATTTTAGGCATGTGCACTAATAACCACAAAGTTTCTACTGAAATTCTCATGTAACATCTTTATATAGTTAGTCTTGAGGCTGGTTGTATAGCTCCTCATCTTTGACTTCTCTTTTTCCATAAGATAAACCTTTTCCAATGTTTCACAGCATATTTCCCATTACATATCATTGACCATAATTACATTCCATGCTTGTAGATAAACCATTGTTCGATAAAAGTAATGAAACAGCCACAAAAATTGGGATTCTTAGGGAAGAAGAAAGAGGAAAATTGCTTTGGGGAAGGTAATCAACAGTGTTCTCTGTAGAATTACGGAATGTCAGTTGGTACTGCTCATTATGTTTGGTGTCCAATATGAAAGCTGGTGATATCTTTTAGTCATAGCAAATTAAATCCTCCACGAAAGTCGATATTATCTCACCTCTTCTTGTTACTGATGAAAAAACTGAGGCCTTGGAAAACCAATTGATTTAGTAAAGATCGTAGCACTGTGTAGTAGCAGGACTTGAATTTGGTTTACCAGATTTCTACTCTAGCATTTTTCTCTATCATGACCTTTTTCTGTTTAATTTTTTGTCTTTTATTAGGCTAGTTGAAAAATACTATCATTGTGGGGGAAAAATGGACCAATACAGTTGAAGTTCTTCTAGGTTAGACCTGTATAGAGAAAGTAATGATTATATCTTTGAAAGATAATTCACATGAAGTCTTGTTTTAAACAAACTTAACTTAAAATAATAATAATAATAAAAAGAAACAAACCTATGTTAACATTTGGATTTTTATGCCAAGGACTGACAAAAGTGTAATTGCTTTTGGTTATCTTCATTGAAATTTATGATAAGGAAAGGTAAGGATGCTCTTTTCTCTGTTTTTTTTTTTTAGTCTAATATCTTAATCAAATATATTTTTCCCATTAAGATAAACATATTTTTTTAATTTCCAAATTATTGCATTTTCATCCCATTATGTATTTTTCAAAGATGAGTATTGGGGCTAATTCTATATTGTTACCTATATATTTTATGCTGTAGTCACTTAAAAAGTGTTCACAAGTCTCTTATTTAACTCAGAATTGAGCCTAGGGTGTTCTGCCACTAGTCTTACCCTTTCCCCAACAAACACATTTCCCATTACCTTAGACAGTTTTCTTTAAAAAAAAAAGAAAAAGAAAAAGATTTATTTATTTGAGAGAGAGAGAGTGGGCTTGCACCCACACGTATGGAGGTGGGGAGGGGTAGAGGGAGAAGGAGAAAGAGAATCTCCAGCAGACTCCCCGCTGAGTGTGGAACCCAACCCTGAGATCATGACCTAAGCCAAAATCAAGAGGCAGACACTTAAGTGACAGCCACCCACGTGCCCCACAGCCCCCTTTGAATCACACTCATAGGCAAGCCCATCCCAGATGGCCCAGTAGAGCCATATTCTTCACTTTGTTGGAATTAAACTCTGCATTTATTTTTTTAGTTTGTTCTTATCTTAAATAATTTTCCTTCATGTGTTGACTAACACTGTCTTTCACGTAGAAATGTACGACCACAGAATACTGATGAGAAACTTCGGAGTCTTGGTGTATTTCTCAGTTTTCCTCAAATCGAACTCACTAGCAGCTTTCTACCCTGCTGAGGAAGGCCAGCTCCCTTATTTTTTACTAAAAATCTCCTCCCCAGTCACCCTTATTGGTTAGTCTTACTGCTTATTGACAAAACAAGAAAGAACAAACTCTTCTCTTCTTCCAAAGAATGTATTTGGGAATGTGAACTAGCAGATGATCAGAGGAGCTGTTTTTATTTGCTGGTAACTGTTGCTGAACTTCAGAGTCAAGTGTGTTAGCTCCACATAATGCATTAGGTCTCCTTGGCTCCCACACTATTTGCACTTCCAAGCCAGGCCTGGATCATTTTTGGTTACTAACTTGAATGTGAGCTATTAAGTCATAGGTAAATCTTCATTTTATGGAAGTGTAGAGGGCTCCCTGTACATCGACAGTGACAGAGGTGTGTATCTATCAGTGGTGTTTTATGTCTTTGAATCCTTGCCTTGGACCATTCTCAATACTCCTTTGCTATGAATAATTCTCCCCTACTGCCTTCACATTTTTCTAGGACATCATAGGTAGTATAGGAACTGATACAAAGAATCCTTCCTCCTTCTCCTGACTCTACTTGTTGTATTCAATGTACATTCAGGCTATGTTGATTGTCCCTGCCATTATTCCTTTGCAATTCTGGCTTTTATCTCAAATCTTTTCCAACAACCATTCACTAATTTATCTTGGTTATCAGTATGATTACATTTTCTGACTTACTATATCTTGTCTGTTCTGGGAAAAGTACTCCCTAACCACCCCCCTGCCTGATCTGCCTGAATTGTTGCTCTTGTGTTATTCCTTGTTCAGAAATCAGGGCCCTCATCCTGGCATCCACACCCTCCACAGTGTGGCCCTGGCGCTCCTTTGTCTGTTCCCACAGTGCTTGTCCCTTCTTACCTTACATACGATTCAAATTGTACTTCTTTAACAAATAAACACTGTACCTCCCTATATCCTTTTGCTGTAGTTCTTTGCCTTTCTGATGGAATACACCCTTTTCTGCTCCCCAAACAGAGTCTCTTTGAGATCCGAGCATTCTTCAAGGCTGTCTCATGTGTTGCCTTCTCCCTTGAGCTTTTGCTTGAAATTCTTGCCTTCTTTTTACCTCAGTAGTTTGTTTACTTCTCTGTTTTCTTTTACTGCTGATTATGGGACTATAAATCAGGGCTGGTGTCTTAGTGACGTTAGGCGGTATTTCTAGTGCATAATATTTTTATGACCTCTGACTAGCTTTTGTGGAGGCTTTGAGGCTGTGAAGTCACTGTTATACTGAGAACACATCTAATTCATCTTTTAACACCCAGGTCAAGCTCTTCTGATTCACAGCAACATTCTGTTTACTGTGTTTACAACTCATTGTCAATGCCAGTAACATTTTAAAATGTTTTAATGTAATTCAACAATTGATGTACTATGCTTTAGCTCTTTTTATATATTTTACCTGTATATCCTCTAATTTATATTTCTTTTCATTGAAACTAGGCCACGGATATCTGTGATCCTAATCCAATCCTGATGCTCATGCTTTGTGTCTACATGTATGAAAGGCTCCCTACATATCTCCCCAAGAAGGTGGTGCCCTTTCATTGTACTCTACATGACACTGTGCTGAGACAGGTAAGGATGTATTTGGAGTGAAACACTTCACAGGGGTTTTAGTTATTTCTTTTCTAACCCAAAATTAACAGAAGTATCAATATGATGTATTAAGCCTTAGCTATTTATAGCGGCAATGTCCACAATAGCCAAACTATGGAAAGAGCCGAGATGTCCATCAACAGATGAACAGATAAAGAAGATGTGGTATATATATATATATATATATACATTCATACAATGGAATACTACTCAGCCATCAAAAAAAAAATGAAATCTTGCCATTTGCAATGATGTGGTTGGAGCTAGAGGGTATTATGCTAAGTGAAATAAGTCAGTTAGAGAAAGACAATTATCATATGATCTCACTCATATGTGGAATTTAAGAAACAAAACAGAAGATCATAGGGGAAGAGAGGGAAAAATAAAATAAGACGAAATCAGAGAGGGAGACAAACCATAAGAGACTCTTAATCATAGAAAGCAAACTGAGGGTTGCTTCAGGGGAGGGGATAGAGGTGGGGGGGATGACTCATTCATGGACATTAAGGAAGGCATGTGATGTAATGGGCACTGGGTATTATATAAGACTGATGAATCCCTGACCTCTACCTCTGAAACTAATAATACATTATATGTTAATTAATTTAATTTAAATGAAAAAAACACAAAAAAGGAAGGGGGTTGGCAGAAAATGAATGATGTTTTGATACTTCATTTTAGCACCCATAAAAATGTTTGCCATTTGGGGCACCCGACTGGCTTAGTCGGAAGAGCATGTGACTCTTGATCTCAGGGTCGTGAGTTCAAGCCCCACCTTGGGTGTAGAGATTACTAAAAAATAAATAAACTTTAAAAAAATAAGCCTTAGCAAATATTGCTGCTTCTAAAGAAGAAGGTTTAACAGAGTGAAAGGGACAATTTTTGCTTAATAGTAACCATCATCTGCAATGAAATGATGATTCCTTGATTCATTTGATGAATGGGGTTTGGGGTGGTGGAAAATCAAAGTTAGGCACTTTGGAGGGCAAATTTTCTGAGGACACTTGAGACCCATTTCATGTGCAAAGGGACTGAGACCGTAAGTGCAAACTTGTGTTCTGAATATACTCAGCTTTCCTTAAGGGAGTGGTTTACACATCCAGATGGATTTTATTCAGACGAGGATATAGAAAGGGAAATAAAAATGAAAGTGTTCCTGACCAGGGCCACCTAATTCCCACTAAAGGATATTATATAACCAAGAGCTGCTAAATGTGTAATGGTGGATTTTTTAATTTGCAGAAAAAAATCAAAAATGAAATTTGAAATCCTGTGACAATAACAAATCTGTATAAATGTCCATATTTGTGAAGTGTTCTCTTTGAGAAATATATTGTCAAGGGTCATTGACCTCAATTTGTTTTTCAAGCTTACACTTGTGAAATATCTTCTGGCATACAGTTTTAAATTGCTTATGTTTATTTAAGATTGTTCCTTCTACCAGTTTTCATAAAATCTTCAACCAAATTTATAGGTTTCTCCTTGTTTCTTTCTGAGGACACTGTGGGCTGGTAGAATCTTATTTCCTGCAAAAATTACTTTATCTCTTTGGTCAGATCATGTTTATTCCTTTTCTTCAGGCTGTTTTATGTATTCCTCCTCATACTTATTTGGGAGGGTGTAATTTTATACATTCGATGCAGAACTTGTCCATATTTGCTCTTCAGAAGATATGTCTTGGTGATTTTTGACTTGTAATTGTAACCTCTGAGAAAATATATAGCCTCTGTGATGATATGAATGATGGTTGGTAAGGATTCAGTTAAAAATCGGGGAAAACGCAGGTTCTTGTCTCAACATGTAAAGGGCTCAGTTTAGGGTAAGGAAAGCGTCTCCTGAATTTTTTGTTAGCATACATTGAGATATGATTCCTTTTTATGAATTTTTTTCTTTTAATCAGGAAAAAAAGATATAAAACTCTTTAGAAGATTTTTTTCAACAGTATTTACTCTGATAATTCCCTACCTGCAATGACCCTCAAAGCCTGGAGCTGTAATTATATTGGAGAGGTTTTTTGACTTCAAAATAAAATTTCTAAAGAGTTAGAAATGTTTTGATTAAGCCTGCAGAGTCTAGGATGAGTCTGAATTAGATTAAGCAGTGATTTATTACAGTTAGTTTTAATTCCAGTTCTCTAATTCTGTCCATGTGTTTGTATTTCTTTATGCCATTTAATTGCCACTATTTTTTAAAAGTAATTAACAACACTAATATTTAAATATAAATTTTAATTGTGATGTTAAAATCAAAGCATATTAAAATGGACATAGTTCTTTCCACATTTAGCTCTTTACTAGAAATAATGTTCGTATTTTAAGATTATAGATGAGGGGTGCCTACCTGGCTCAGTAGGTAGAACATCTGACTCTTCATCTTTGGGTCTTGAGTTCAAGCCCCACGTAGGGCATTGAGCCTACTAAGAAAGATTAAAAAGGGGAAAAAAAGATTATAGATGAAAGTATACAGATATAACTTTGATTTTTCACAAATGTAGAGTATGTCTTTTGACAGTAACAAAAATTAAATTTAAATGCAAGAAAATGTCAGTTATAACAAGCTTTAGTTTTAAATTTCATTTAAGAAAAATCACTGATTTGGAAATTGCTGAGAACATTTGGCATAGTTTGCCCCTATGCATCAACACTATAAATGACAGTGCTTAAGTCATTGAATATCATTTTTACCAACATTTTCATCACTCTAGAATAAAAAAGAATCTCAAGAAATGGCTACTAGAATTGAAAAAGTATTTGTGCAACTATATGTCAGTAACACAGACATAGAATCCTGGAACCAGTAAAAAATAGAGTGATCATTAAAAAAAAATAGAGTGTGTGTGTGATTTCCAAGACATTTTTTTTCTGAGACATTTTTAAATGCAGTTGAACTTTTCTTCTCTCTTTTTGAAGCAGAATTTACACAGAAGCACAGTAGTTAAAGATAACTATTAAATAGTGAAAGATAAGCTATCTTGCAAAAGGTGCAAAAGGGGAATTGAGGCTCCTTGAACAGATTTCCTTTGTCCCCATTTACCACTTACCACCCCAATGTGAAATCCTGGGTGGAATAATCTGACCACAGGTGAGCCCAGTGCCTTTGTGTCATATATAGGATATGACATAATGAGAATGAGTAGCTTCCTTGAGATCTCAGGGCTGGTTAGGGATGTTCCAGGACTAAAAATCAGTAGCAGCTCACAGGGAATCCTCATGATTTTTCTACATTTCCTTTCAGAAAACAGAAGTTAGTTCTCTGGAACTTAAAATTACTTGGTCTATTCATTAATACTTCAAATTCATATGTACATACATAAAAATAAAAAAATAGGGGCACCTGGGTGGCTCAGTCGTTAAGCGTCTGCCTTCGGCTCAGGTCATGATCCTGGAGTTCTGGGATCGAGCCCTCCATCGGGCTCCCTGCTCCGCGGGAAGCCTGCTTCTCCCTCTCCCACTCCCCCTGCTTGTGTTCCCTCTCTCGCTGTGTCTCTCTCTGTCAAATAAATAAATAAAATCTTTAAAAAAATAAAAAATAAAAAATAACACACTGGGTTTGTCTTGGCCCCATTATAACTGATATTATACATAGGTAAGCAACATGAGAACCCCAATTCCTTGGTGTAACCAAAGATAGAAGAAACTCTTCAGCAACAGTGTACTTCTCCTGGTAGTTAACAAAAATTCTCATCGAAACATAAAACAAGTTAATTTTTTATTTATTTTTTTAAGATTTTTTTTTTATTTTATTTTAGAGAGAGGCAGAGAGAGAGAGAGAGAGAGACAGAGCTGGGGGAGGGTGGGATGGACAGGGAGAGGCAGAGAATCTCAAGCGCACTCCGTGCTGAGTGTGGAGCCTGAAGCAGGGCTTGATCTCACAATCCTAAGATTACAACCTGAGCCAAAACCAAGAGTTGGACACTTAATTGACTGAGCCACCCAGGTGCCCCTAGTTAATTTAATCTTTAACAAATCTACCATATTCTGTACAAGTCACCACAATCACTGTAAGTCACTATAAGTCACTCTAATCACACATGGTGCTAATTGTTAATTCTTCAGAAATCTGTGACTATACTTCCTGGGCTGCATAAGTTGCACTCACCTTGTTGTCACTCTAATTTGGCCAGTCATGCATTTCCCCCAGGTCATCTTTCTCCTCTGAGTCAGTACTTTCCATGATAATCTGGAGTCTTCCCAGTGTGTCTGTTTTTTGGGGTGGTTTTTTTTTTTGAATCCGTATTATATTCTATATACACCCTTGGATATTCACAGTTTTCATGCAATATTCTCTCTAAAAATGAAGTAACTTGTCTTCACATACCCTCCCTATCTTGGCATCAGGAAGTAAGGGACAACCAGCCCCTTGTTAGACTACTGCTTCGAGTCAAGGCCACTGTCATTTTCAGCCTGGGCCTCTGTTCTTAAAAGTACACTCCTTATAAATCTTTCTACACTGAGCAGCCTGAGTATCCTTTTTGTAAATTGGATTATATAAATTCTCTGTTTAAAATTCTCCAAAGATTTCTCTTTGCAGTAAGAATAAAATCCAAGTTGCTAACTTTGGATTTTAAATCTTTGATAATCAGGTGTTTTTACCTCTGTCATTTCCTTGCTTGAAAGCTTGAAAACTCCTTCTCCTTGCTTTCTGCTAAACTATATATTTATGTTATCTTTAAATACAAAGTCTGCTTTCCTCCAGTTAGTGCACATTAGGAATATTTTCATGATTAAAATGTATAACTTGCTTTGATGAAAATAAGTGCTAAATTATATATTTTTAAAATTCATGATCTTATGTATACTCTCTTCTTCAATATAGATTCTACTGAAAAATCCAAGCTTGAAAAACTTAGTGTATAATGCTATAATTGTTGGAAAAGATGCCTCTGACTTCTCCCTTTCCCAAACAGGGAACATTGTGACAATATCTCCGAAGTAAGTGTTTTTTTCTTTTAAATTTTATTTCACTGAAAATATCAACCCTAGATATTTAGTGTGTATTATAATTATAAAAGTGTGGCCTGGATTTGTTTTTAACTGGTATACATATAATGAAAAGATCATCACTCAGACATAGATAAATTATGTATATGTTGCTAAGATTCCTCACCAATTTTGTTAAAATAATTCTAACAACATAAAACAGTTGCTTATTATGTATGCTTTTAATTTTAGTTTATTTTGCATGCATATGGGCCATAGAGATTAGACTATAAGTTTTTTGTTTATGTACTGTAGTTCGGTTTCCCTTAGGAAACTCAAACCAGTGTGTAGATTTTATATAGGTTATATATATCATATATATAATGTTATTATATGTCATTCTGTTTATATGATATATAGTTGTTTCTGAGCAATGTGCTCATTGTAGAAAGTTTAGAAACTATAAAAGTACAAAGAACAAAAAAAGTGAAAGACTGATAATCTTACCTTAAAGATACCCTCAGTGTTGCCGTTTTTCTGTATCCCTTCACTGTTATTGTGTTTATATGTGTGGATAGATGCATAGATAGATAAATATAAGCATATATATATACATATATATATATGCTCCTAAATTATAGTGATTTTCTTTAAAGTTTCATTTCTATATGATTCTGTTCTCATGATGCTTTTCTTTAATGTTTCTACTACTGTCCTACTTTCAAAAATAAAGTACAAATGAAACCCCCAGAAATTAGTCTCGAGAAATTAAACATGAGCATAATATGACTCTTTCCAGATCAACAAATCCTATTAGATATGTCAATGGTTTTAACGATGGCAAATATTCTTATTACAAAATACAAGGATGATAAGAGGACAGCTATGTTAATATCACAGGGGTTCACAAATTTAATAACCACTAATTGACTTCAGCCAGCTTAAATTTTAGTCATTGCCTTTGCATTCAATTGTTTTTTCCCAGTGCCAAGTGACAGATTATAACTACTAAAGTTACTTCACCTGGTTATCTTTTTAGTTTTTAACTAGACATTAACTTGAGTTGCTCTTCACATTGTAATTATTATTACTTCTAGCATATCAAATGCAGAAATAATTGGAAATCAGGGCCATTTTAATTGCATTTAAAATACCAAGAAACCCAGTTGTAACAGTGCCCTTGGTTTGTGTCATTAGCCTGTGTTTGTTTTCTTCAGGTACTTCTTCATGCTAAGGAGTATATAATTTATAAATTCTGAATATTCGTGGTTGGTACTACATCCAGATTGAACTGAATGTGAGGAAAACAATTCTCCATTCTCCTGTTTCTATATTATAAGTTAAATGATTAGAATAAAACTCTTTGTAAAAACAACCCACCCATTTTCTCAGTTATACTTATTACATGTCTGTTATAAAACACAACTTTAGTAATACACGTTCATTTGAACATTGACACAGTCCCATTTTTCTTCCCACAGGACTCTGATAATTGAGATCTGTTCTCTGCCTTTCAAATAGGTTGATACAAGTGAAAAGCACTTACGTTTCTCTCTGCTTTTTTTTTACTCATAAACCCAATAACCTCTTCCAGTATTTCAGAGCTCTCGTTAAGTGGAAATATTTCCTAACAATCACACTAAGCCTCTGATATTTTAGCTTAATATCACATTTCAGTTAACAAAATTAATATTTATAGTCTTTATTATAAATGTAAAACCTGTACATCGTTATAAGTTTGTTACAGAAAAGTATAAAGAAGAAACAAAATCACCTAGAACCCCATCAGATAAGCATAGTTAATTCATCAGTTCATTTCCTTTTAGTCTTTTTATATGCACAAGTATGTTTATTATAGCATATGGCTAGTTAAATATTTACAAAATAAATGCATTATATGTAAATATTAAAACAATGCTTATTAAATATTCGCTACGTACAAAATCTATATAACATGCACTTTGTGTACCTTTTCATATTTAATCATCCTAACAGCCATATTAGTGTCCTCATTTTCCAAAAGAAGACACTGAGCAGAGACCTTAAATCATTTGCCCAATTTTCCCTGCTATTAAGTGGTTAAGCGGTGATTCAAAACCAGCCAATCTAAATCCATTGTTGGCACTTTTATTCAGTTGACACCTGTACATATTGTGTGTTTGTGTGTGTGTGTGTGTGTGTATCACATGCATACAAAGCCCTTGGCATTCAATAAAATATGGCTTTGACTATTTGTAAGCAATCCTGAAGATTCATGACATGTAATTGTATCATTTTTTGCTTCTCCAGGAGCTGGTTTGTGAGAATATTTCACTTGGGTACTTGTGAACAGTACTTCCTATTAACTTCTCAGCGGTGTGCCTGTTTTACTCTTTATACACCATTGCACCACTTATAGTCTATATAAATATAGACATATTTATAAATATTAGCTTCTTGAGGTTTTGATACATATCATGTGAACATTAATCGACCATATATTCATGTATACCTACTCACACATGTAATCATGAGTACATATATTCATATTTTGACCATATTACAAATATACCTATATTCTTGTTTTCAACTTACCTTTTTTTAATCAAAATTTAACTTATTCATGCTTAACAAGTCCAAATATGCAGAGGAGTTTAAAATGAAAAGCAAGTCCCTCTCCCCTCAAATCTGTCTCTAGAAATCCATTTCTTGAGCCACCTACTTTTCACTCCCTCATTTATGTCTCATTTTAGTTCTTCCAGTGGTTACCTCCAAAATCGAAGTAATCTATATTATCTTTGCCACTATTTTGGTTATACCAACTTCAGAAATAATCTGTTGATGTATAGCTATAATATTTAATGATCTAGTTTACATCTCCAGATTTATTGCCCTCCCTCCAAACATCACCAGTTTTATCTTCTACTTAGTACTTTTCCAAGAGTGACAATCTATTTTATAAATGTTTCTTACACCATCAGTATAAAAAGTATCTTTTGACTCCTTTTTTAAATTGAGAAAATCAATAAATTGAGAAAATCACTAAAGAAGTGCATACAGTCCTTGATGTCTCTTTCCTTCAAGTATACCATTTCTAGAGCACTTTGCCTTTTCCTCCTAATTGGACTGATTGCTTTCCAGACCGACTGAAGAGATGTCAATAGCGCACATTTTTTTTTAAGATATTATTTATTCATTTGAGAGAGAGAGAGAGATAGCATGAGTTGGGGGAAAAGCAGAGGGAAAGAAAAGCAGACTCCCTGCTGATCAGGGAGCCCAATGTGCCGCTCGATCCCAGAACCCCGGGATTATGACCTGAGCTGAAAGCAGTCACTTAACCCCCTGAGCCACCCAGGTACCCCAGTATTGGACATTTTTTATTTCTCTTTGGATAGAAACTGTTATCTCTCTCTTTCTTAATCTACTTACTTATTTACTTAAAAATCCTTATGAAACGTAATAAAAAAATATGAGAGGTAAATTTTCCAAGATTTTTCATTTTTAAGCATGTCTTTTTACTACCCTTACCCTTGATTTATATTTTGCTTGGTTTATGATGCTAAGTTGAAAAGATTTTTCCTCATAACTCTTAAGGTAATTGTTACCCTGCCTCATAGTATTCAGTATTTGTGATGAGAAAGTCTACTATAATTCTGTTTTCCAACACCTCTAGAAGTTTTTAGGATCTTCCATTGTGTTCTGATACTGTTCCAGAATGCATCAAGGAGGGTGTTTTTTTATTCACCATTTGGGTACACAGTGATTCCTTTAACTATGAAGTTGTTTTTCATAAGCCCTGGAAAATTAAATTATTTCTTTCATAATTCTCTCCCATCTATTTTCTCCTTTCTCATTTTCCAACCTGTAGTTGTTGGATATTGAACCTGTTCATTGTATCCTATATTATCACTAGTATTTTTTGTATCTTTGATTTTTCTTCTTTTTTTTTTTTTTTAAGATTTTATTTATTTATTTTACACAGAGAGGACTGGCTTATTTCACTTAGCATAATGTCCCCAAGTTTCGAACATGTTGTCACATATTGCAGGATTTCCTTCTTTTTTAAAGCTGACTAGTCTTCCACTGTAATATATACACACACCACATTTTCTTTACTCATTTGTCTGTTGATGGACATTTGGGTTCTTTGGATTGTTTCCATATCTTGGCTATTGTGAACAATGCTGCAATGAGCATGAGAGTAAAGATATCTTTTTGAGATCCAGATTTCAGTTTTGTTGGATAAATACCCAGAAGTCGAAGAGCTGGACCACATGGTAGTTCTACTTTTAATTTTTTGAGGAAACTCCCTACTGTTTTCCATAGTGGCTGCACCATTTTACATTCCCACCAACAGCATGCCAGTGTTCCCTTTTCTCTAGGTACTCACCAACATTGTTATATTTTGTTTGTTTTGGTTTTTGTGTTTTTTATAATTCTGACAGTTAGGAGGTGATATCTCACTGTGGTTTTGAAATGCATTTCCCTGATGAGTATGGATGTTCAACATGTTTTCATATACATGTTGGCCATCTATAAGTCTTTTTTGGAAAAATGTCTATTCATATCCTCTGCCCATTTTTTAACTGGATTGTTTGTTTTTTTGCTTTTGAGTTGTATGAGTTCTTTATAAATTTTGGATATTAATCCTTTATCAGATATATGATTTGCAAATATTTTCTCCTATTTGGTAGGTTACCTTTTCATTTTTATGTTACTCTTGTATAGCTCTATTCCATTTCCCCATTTTTTGTAGTATTTTTGTCAGACATATTGTATCAATGGTGTTACAATAATCAATAATGTTACTAACATTTTGGGGTATTTTTTTTAATTTTGTTTAATTTTTATGATCTTAAGAGAGCTGAGAGAAGAAAGGACAGTGTATTAGTTTGCTATGGCTCCCATGACAAAATACCACAGACCGGTGGCTTAAACAACAGAAACTTATTTTCTTACAGTTCTGGAGGCTAGAAGTACAAGATCAAGGTATTGGCAGATTGGGTTTCTTCTGAGGCCTCTCTCCTTGGCTT